TGGAAATGATCGTCTGGTAAAACCATCAGCAGATGAATGCATATATGGTTGAACCAAATCCAAGCGGCAGTAAATGACAAACTGGTCATTTTTATTACAATCTATCCGAACCTATCAAATGTCCTCCGCATGCGCACTGGTCCAGGTAGGGCGTTTCAACCAATAGGAAGGCTGGTGTTTGTTGACAATTTAGGTTATTTAATATCGTTTCCTGCCGCTTGGTTTTGAAAATGGTATATATCCTTTCACAAAGAGACATTTTGATCCAGGCTTTATTTTATCGTTTACTTTATGTTTAAGTCATCTCTATTTCATCACTCAGTCTTTTATCACAATAATTTTTGGGGAAACCGCTCACAAAAGTTTGACACGAGTTTGGGCTATTTTTACCTTCACTTGTGGCTGTGGATTTGTGGAGAAGCTTCTGGACCCCTTTGAATGCATTCCCTCTGGCTTCAAACTTACGAATTTTCTGACTGGCTGGGGCCTTGGATATTCTGCTTTTTGATACAAATTCCTATTTAATCCAGAACTTTCGATAGAAATCTGCTGAAAGTTGAGTGACTTTGTTTTCAACATAAAGCCCTATGGTGGACTGCAAACCTGGCACGCGTCCGGATCCACGCTCGGCGCTTATTCAATACAGCAAAGAGGACCGGAGAGTGTCGGGGTTACACAGAGGCTCACACAAAGTATTACAAATAAATCAGAAAGGCAAAAATAAACCAACTTTGGGTCTTTTTGTGAAAACATCACATCGACTCCAGTCGCCGCTAGAGTGCAAGAGGCAATTGTCAAAGAGTGAACAGCATGAGTCACTTTCATTCCAAAGGCAGGCAAGAAGGATGGGACAGACCCCAAATCCTTCAGACCAATAAGCCTCACATCGTTCCTTCTGAAGACGATGGAAAAGCCAGTAGATAACTATATCAGATCTTTCACCTAGGAAAGGTGGCCTTCCAAGATAAGTCAGGCCGTTTACTGAGCTGGCAGGTCCAGTGAGACAGCTCTGTTCTAACTGCCAATCAAGAAACTCTAGACGGAAAAGTAGTCGCATTATGCGCCTTCCTAGACATCGCGACAACTCATCCCATATGACCATTCGGAGAGTAGGTACTAACGAGAATAATTAGTGGTATTAATAAGATGAAGTATATATAAGCTCAAACTCAAAGTATTTGAAGTATATGCTGCAACTGGTATTAATAAGTAAAGTTAAACTTTTGCTCAAACTCGGCTGACTCTAGTTTGTGAGCATTTGCTCTAGTAGATATTAATAAAAAAAGTATTTGCTTCAAGTTTGGAGCATCTAGTCCATTTCACTTGAGTCTAGTCAGCAGCAAACTCAACTTAGGAAGAGAGTGACACCATGGCCAAATTTATAAATACGCAATTACGCAATCCTAAATGAGTTCATAGAGACGTGGACGATTGAGACCGGAAAGTGTTATATCGATTCGAGAAGGAAAATGTTGAATGGATGTGTGAACACTTTCTGGGTCTCCAGAGGAAAGGAGAGGAAGAGCTCCCATGCCACTGCAACGTTTGAATTAATAAGGTATGTGGCTGTAGGTGTAGGTAAGGATGTATGATTTATTGATTCAAAATAAAATTTCAGATGTTTTATGCATAATTTAAAAAGTTGACAAAATATTAGATACAAATTTTATTTTAATTTAAATGTTATAATTTTGATAATGCGGGTTATCACTGTTATGGTTTATTGATTCAAAATAAAATTTTAGATGTATGGTTTTCAGACTTGCGTTGCTACAAATATAAGAGATCGCCAACCAACTGTCTCAAATGTCATAGCAGAAGGTATTCCAAGCATAATACAAAAAGCTGATTATTGGATCCATTTCCCTTCTACTGACGAAGAATTTGAGAGAAAAAAAGGCAGCATGGCAAGAGTCATACAATTTCCCTTATGCAATAGGAGCTATAGATTGCACTCATATCCCTATTTTAAAGCCTGCTGTCCATGGAGATGAATATATCAACTGAAAAGGATTCCCCAGCCTCAATGTTCTCGTAGCTTGCAACAGCTCAAAAATGTTTACGAGCGTGGATCGGCTTCGCTCCCTGGCTAATGACACCTTTCAGAGCACCAGGTAAGGCAGAACAGCAAACATTCAACAACATGCTTACCAAAGAAAGGGTCATCATTGACAGGTGTTTTGGGAAACTGAAACAGAGATTCCCTATTTTACACCATAAGATTCCCAATTCATAATTTTTTGCAGGCTAGACAGACATGTTTTTATCTGAATCCAAAACACCCCTGTGCCACTTCACGCTGTACTGTGCGTGTGAGCATATGCTCAAGATACTTTAGTTCAAGCCAGAAAATGAGCAAATGCTCAGCTTGTGTTTATTTATACCAAGCAATAGTAAAAGCTCAGATTCTGCCCTCATACTCCGTAAATTTACTCCGGGCTCAGGCTCAGGTTTATTAATACCACCCATATCTCGATATATGTATAAGATGCGTGCCACGAGGATAGTACAGATTTTAGTAGGTACTGAGTCTATGGAGATGAACACCACTCGAGCCATTCCTCAGGGTCCTTATTCTTGAAACAGGAGAGCAGCGTTTCCAGGAAAACGAGTATTCTGTTTTTCTCAATGATAGGGAAATGAAAATATAAGTAACAAAGACGGAACACTCATTCTCCTGGGGACACTGCTCCCCTGTTTCAAGAATAGGAACCCAGGGCGGAGTATTCTCACCCCTGATATGGTGGATGAACTACTAGGAATACTGAACAACCTGCACTGCATTGGGTATGCCGATGATATCGTCATTATAGCAAGAGGAAAGTTTGAGGGCTCCCTGTGTGACCTGGAACAGGCCGTAATGCTTTCACTAAAAAGAGAGAACTCCCTAAAATAATGGACATAAACTACACGGAACTATTATCACATCGGTGACAAAAGTCAGATATCTCCGCATAACGCTGGAATGCAAGCTCAGATGGAGCAAACACATCGAAGGAGTTGTAACCAAAGCTACAAGCGTTCTCTAATAGTGTGCCGAAACCTTGCATGCAAAACCTGGGGATGCAAACCAGGAATCTGGATGTACACCATGATAGTAAGACCAACCCTGCTATATGAATCGATAGTCTGGTTCAAGGAAGTTGAGAAGTAGAACATAAAAGCAGCCCTCAACTTACTACAGCTCCTGGCGTGCATATCCATTACGTGCGTAATAATGATTTGTCTCACAGCAGCCATTGAGACAATTGCAAATCTCGTAGGGGGCTGCTAGACGAGCATCAATTGTTGGTTGAAGCGGTCTGCTTGGGTTCATCTGCTGCTGGTCACCCCAGCGGAACGTCGTTTTCGGAGCGGTTTTGGAACTGGCTTTCCTGGCGTGCTTGGGGTATTTCTTGCAACCCTGGTAGGAGGCTGGGTGGGGACCACCGCAGTTTGCACAGGTGGCGGCGGTGTCCCTGGTTTTGGTGCAGGCTGAGGACGGGTGGTCGCCTGCACATTTGACGCATTTGTGCGGGGCTTGGCATCTCGACTGAGAGTGTCCATGTAATTGACAGCGGTGGCATTGAGTGGAGCGCTGGTTGGTTTTTTGCGTTTCCTTTCGGACTTTCACATGGTTGATTGTCATCACTTTGTAGATATTGGATTCTGCTGATGGTACTATTATTATCAGAGGCACTGGCTCGCCTTTGGCGTTGTACCAACGGATTACGGCTGACGGGTGGAACTTTAACTTTTCAAGTTCGGTTTTGATGAAGTCTGTTGTCCAGTGCTCGAGGGGTCCTCGGATCACCACCCTTAGTTTCTTCTCCTCTGGGAAGGAGAAGGTGTGGAAGGGTTCCTGGGTCTCTTCAAGGTAAGATTGGATCTTCCTGTAGTCGTCGCCTGATTTTGGGTGGATTTTGATACCTTCATTGGTATTGGTAGTCGGTCCGTATTCGATCTTCTGTGCTTTGAGGTGGTTTACAATATCGTTGTACCTCGATTTATTCCTGAGAACAATAGGCGGTATTCTCTCGTTTTTCTCCTTCGGAGCTGTGGCGGGCTCTGGAGGTTTGGTCTGGAAACCTTGCAGGATTTCTTGAGGGCTGGCTCTCCGCTGTTGCTATCGGAGGATTTCTTCCTGCGCCGTCGAGACTGAACGGGCTGGAAGTCGTCAACGTCGGGTTCATAGACGTGCTGGCGCTGGGATAGTGCCTGGGATTCGGTGTCGGATTCGTCGGCACCACTGTCGCTGCTGTGGCCGATCTCCATGTTTTGGAGGTCGATCAGCTTGGTTAGTCGCAGAATTTCAGCGGACTTGGCGTTGTCTGCCTGGTGGAAGGCGCTTTCGGCAACCTCCTTTCTCAGAAGTTCTAGCTCGGACTTCAGGGTTTGGTTTTGCTGTTGCAGACCTTGGATTTGTTGTGTAATGGAGGCCTTCCATTCTTCCAGAGATTTGTCGGACATCTTGGAATTAGGTGGCACACACAAACTGGCACATTGAAACAATAACTGGCACACTAACTGGTAGTCGGATTGGGCTCCGGGAAATGGCACTAGTCAACATTCCCCTCGGCACGCAAACTAACTGTCTTGAACTGAGTTCTCTCTTGGCTTGGCATATGCTGTCGCTTTGAGAGCTCAACTCGGAATGAATATTGAGAAGCGAAGGATGAATTTTATGTAATAAAGTCCAACCCAGTGAACGATAGAATTTACAGTCGAGTCAGATTCCGATGGCGCCATTTACGATACAGGAGTTTTGATGGAAATCATGTAACTTAGTTCAAATTTTCTTTAAAGTTCTCCTCATAACAGATTCGCTGGGTGAAGTCGATAAACTGTTGAGTAAAAACGTCTTCAGGGTGCCCTTTTTGAAGGGGTGTAGCTTCCTTAAGAGGAAGGATTTTTGTTTATATGAACTCCGCTACATTAAAATACCGAATCAATTTTCTGCATGTTTGGGAAACACACATGTATATCAACGCGACCTCAAATTGATATTTTCATGTACTTACCTTGCAAAGAAAGTTCCAGCCTTGGCGGTAGTAAAATATTTGACATCTGGTATCCTGATAAGGTTTTGTGCTTGGGCCAGGGATCCAGTAACAGATCTGGAAGAAACAAAATTCGGATTTAAATAGCGTCGTATTTTCATCAAATAAATGATTCAATTAAGCTACAACCCAATTCCTAACCGGTTATAGCAAATGCTCGTTAATGTAATCCAAATCAGGAAAATGCAAAAAGATTCGATTTTTATTGTTTCAATATCGGTAGGTGTAGTTTTTATGTACCAGGGAGCGACAGGCAATTAGAATTATTAGGCATTGTTGGGTTGGGTTGGTCCAGGCTCCTTTATACGACTAAATGTAGTACGGCAAGACAGGACAAATTAAATTATTGTCGATTTCTTCGGTTGCAGTTTGAAATAAATAACGAAGCAATTGAAAAAATATTATAAATAATTCGTTATTGTTCCTGGCAATTATCGTTTGGTTAGTTTATGATTATAATCGACAGGCAATTTGCTATAGAGGCTACCCATACATGGAATAAGTGTTTATGATATAATGGCTCGATGGATAATGTATTTTTTTTTCTAATGACTATTATAATGTGGACATTAAAAACAAGTAATATATCAATAATTACCTACAACTGAAATTTGAGTTGAAAGAAAAACTACTGCTATTGTTAATTGTTAAGAGTTTTCTCGAAAGATCTTGAGACAATTTCAATCTAGACTGTTATATTGAATTTGGTATGATTGAATTCTAAATAAAAATATAAATTAATAAAAAACTGTGGTTGTTTTTATCTACATTTAGTTCCTCCTGAATGAAAAAATTGATTTGAATTTAATTTATTGTAATTTTTTCATCTACGAATTCAATTATTAATGAAATTAGTTTGAAGGCATCCCCAGAAAAAGATCAATCACTTTTGTTTGTCTGTTGATTGGCGAGCAATCATGCACTCAATAATCATGAATGTATTCCTAAATATAGACAAAATTACTTAAGGTTCAATTTGCATGTCCAATTAGAGAATTGAATAATACATATACCTACCTACTCAAGTTATCGCTAATGGAATATCAATTAATGTAGATTTTTAATCGATTTTCAATTCAATAGAGGTAGTTTTTACAATTATTGATTAACTAGTTTTTTTTTTCGCGTATTCACAACAAAATCGCTTTGTTTTTGTTACAGTTTAATTATTATTTTATTGATTTATTATTTTAATTCTTAATCGATTTGTTGTTATGAATTTTCTAGCAGACAAATAGTTCTTTGAAGATATACGAATATTGAGATAATTAATTATTTTCTTTGGATACCGACTTGACTTTGAACTTAAAATTCATTATTTGTCTTATTTTGATGATAATTATTTGTCCATTATTACATGTTATAAAAAATTAAATATTTCATTTGAAGCCTGTTTCCTCATCCACGCACCAGTTTAAATTTATAAAACTGAAACTTCATAACCGTCCCCTGATCAACCGGTTCGGGTGGCTACGGGGGAGCGTCGGCAGGTGGCGGATGGCCGGACGGCCTATGTTTTATAGGTTATCACCGAATATCCAATAAGGTGACGCTGACCAACCCTCCAATCCAAGGTGTAACGCGAACCGTGCCGAGGGATGCATGACGGTGGGAGAGCACGGCCTCAAACGGAGCCTTGAAGATACCAGGCGACCTCTTCAAGTAACCAGCCTTACCACGTCGTGCGGGGCTCCGACGTGGCTGACCTTTATTTTCCTAGCTATTCGTGGGAACCAACATGGATAAGAAAAAATAAAAAAACAAAGAAAAGCGGGACGACAACGCTAAACCAACTGCTGACCGAATGGAGCATGACATCCAAGACAGTCAGCACACCCTCCGAGATCACCTCAGAGATAAGAAGGGTGAGAAACCCCAAAGAAGAAAGGCTGATCCTAGGAAAAAGCCATACTACCCACCTCTTGGTCAACCGGGAGGGCTTGATGACCCACTGAGAAAAGGCCTCAGTGGAGCTGGAGTGCGATGGTACCTCAGGTTTCTTCAACAGGGCATGACACCAGAAGAAGCCAGAGAAAATGCACTGACCAGGAAAGTGCAGACACCAGACAAGGCACAGAAAAGGGGGCCCAAAAACATAACCCCTCCGCACAAAGCGGACGTGAAAAGAAAGAGGACGGTACCTCCTCATGCTGACCGAGCCGCTGGGCCAAGCACCAGCTACGCCGGTCAGCAAAAACCATAAAGGTGGCAGCACTCCCCGCGGCATTCCCAAAGGAAACCCTCAGTCCAGAAGAACTTTCTGCCCTAGAGGACGCCATTGTGGAGGAAATGATGAAAGGGGCGGAACATAAACTCCAATTTGGAGGCATACATTTCCGACCAAGCATGCTGGTGATTGATTGCCTCACCAAAGAAACAGTTGAGTGGCTGATAGAACACGTCCCCAGGTTGGAAACCTGGCAGGGAGGAGAGCTGATGATGTGCCTGGGAGACATCCCATAGGCGCACACCACCACAGTCTTCTTCCCAAGAAGCAAAGGGCAAGACCCCCTTAAAATCCTAAACCTGGTGAACACCCAAAAAGAATGGTTTAGCACTCAGCTGTGGAAAGTAATGGGCTGCAAGGACGAGGGCAACGGCCAGCTACTCAACATCGGCATAGACGATGGGTCCTGCGAAACCATTAGGAAAATGGGGTACAACCTCTTCTATAGGTTCGAGAAAATCCCCGTACACGGCCTGAAGAAGAGAAAGGGTAAAGAGGAAACTAACGAGGAACCGAAGGAGCCCACCTCCTCGGAATCCAAACCGCAGTCTCCTTCAGAAGAAGACGAAGGGAAAGTGGACGAAGGCCTTGAGGAGGGGAAGAAAACTCTCACTCCGGCAAAGAAAGTTCCCAGTGAGGAAGAAAAAATGCTTCTGGGCGATTAGGAAGTCATCACTCCACCACACCAGAAAAAACAATAACAGGTAAGATGGCGAATTACACCACAATAGAACAGGTGAACGCGCATCACGCTAAGGGAGCATCTGCTGCCATAGCGCGGTTGTTCACGTCGGCACACTTGGGAGCCGTACTAATCCAAGAACCTTGGATACACAAGGGGCAGATCAAAGGTCTGTCAAGAGAGGGGCAAAAATAATCTGGGACAGTCGGTGTAACGACCCTAGAGCATGCATTCTCCTGAATGAAAATATTAATCATTTATGTCTTTCAGAATTTACGTCGCGGGACTTGGTTACGGTTCGGGTTAAACTTATCACCGACCTACCACACCGCGACGTAGTACTGGCATCAGGATACTTCGCTGGAGATGGGCAAGCACCACCAGAAGAAGTACAGAGACTAGTCGAGTACTGCAACAGGAGCAAATTACCGCTCCTAATTGGCTGTGACACCAACGCCCACAACACCATCTGGGAAAGTACCGACACAAACCTAAGAGGTGAGCAACTGTTAGAATTTATCTTTCAAACAAACCTAAATATACTTAATGTAGGGAATACACCAACATTTGTTACTAGGGTCAGATATAACACTTTGTAGTCCAAATATTGACCAAATGATCAGGAATTGGAGAGTCTCGAATGAACCCTCTCTGTCTGATCATAGAATCATTATATTTGAAGTAAAAGGAAGGAGTGCAGGAACGAACTGCCTCGTATAGAAACCCCAGAAACACAAACTGGGAAGAATACACAAGCAAACTGCAACGCAACCTCAAACAAAATAAGGTTAGCTGCAGGAGCACACGTGGAGTAGAAGAAACCTTTCAAATCCTTAACGGAGCAATCATGGAGGCTTACGAATACAGTTGTCTTGTGAAGGAACAAGTAAGCAAAAAAGGTTGCCTATGGTGGAATAGTCACCTGTCACGACTTAGATCCGAGGTTCGCTGTCTCTTTAACACAGCCAAACGGGACGAAGAATGGCAGGGCTACACCAAAAGGCTGACTGAGTACAACAGAGAATTAAGGAAGGCCAAACGGAAAAACTTCCAGAACTTCTGTGAATCTATCACAGAAACACCATCAGCAGCCAGACTATACAAAACCCTGGCAAAAGGCAGTGCGCAAGGACCATTGACACTTAAGAAACCAGACGGTAGTTATACAGAAAATGAAGAGCAATGAGCTGCTCTACTACTGGAAACCCATTTTCCAGGAAGTATACCCAATGGTACTGAAGAAAACAAAGAACGGCCCAGAAAAACCAGGCAAGAAAACTGGGAGGTTGCCAAGAACCTTTACACTCCGCAGTAGGTGGCTTGGGCGATCGATTCATTTCAATCGTTCAAGTCACCTGGAGTAGACGGCATTTTTCCAGCCCTGTCGCAAATAGGGCAAAATTAAATTATGCCGTATCTAATCAAACTCATCAGATACAGTGACCTTATAGAAAAAGCACTCCGAACCTGAGGAACATTCGCCTCGATGGAAGCAGGCTTCACTGGAAAGAAGAAGTTAAATTCCTATGAATATCCCTAGACTCTAAACTCCTTTGGAACCGACACATAGATTCGAGAACATAACAAACAAAGCAATTTCGGTACTCATGGTATGTAAAAACATTGCGGGCAAAACGTGGGGGTGTAACCCATCGATCCTACGATGGATGTATACCATGATAGTGAGACCTATCATCACCTACGGAGCGGTAGCCTGGTACAGCCGAACCCAGCTAGTAACGGTTAGGAAAACCCTAGGAAAGCTACAAAGACTCGCATGTCTATGCATAACAAGAGCAATGAGATCATGCCCAACCGCGGCAATGGAAGTCATCCTAGACCTAACACCACTTCACACAATAGTGAAGCGGGTTGCCAGTGAATCATGTCTAAGACTGGCGAAGATAAGTCTACAAGGGAAAACGCACTTTGGCAGAGCTTTCCCTCTCCCAAACTGTGCACACCTCATGGACTTACCAAATGACGCGATTGTTGATAAATTCAGTTTCGAGAAAAACTTTTCCATCGAACTAAGTACAAAGAACTGATGGAACATAGAATGTATCCAGTCCCTTAAAGCAAACACCATCAAATGGTTCACAGACGGCTTCAAAACTGCTGAGGGGACAGGAGCCGGAGTATTCGGGCCACGAACCAAATACTCGGAGCGAATGGGCAAATCACCAAGCATATTCCAAGCCGAACTTCATGCGATCGGAAAATGCGTGCAGTTCAACCTGAACAGAAGGTACCGAAAACGAGAAATTGTAATAATGTCTGACAGCCAAGCAGCTATCAAAACATTGAGCTCGCCGGTAATCAATTCTAAGATAGTATGGGATTGTCTACAGAAACTCAATGAGCTAGGGAAGGAACAAAGTAACCCTACTCTGGGTTCCTGGACACATAGGAGTCGAGGACAATGAATGCTTGCAAAAACGGGAGCGGCCACTCCCTTCACTGGGCCAGAACTATTCTGCGGCGTCGGAAATGCGCACCTCCAAGAAATCCTCAAAAAGGAAGAGAACCGGCTAAGGAACAAACAATGGCTAGACCAACCAGGACTACGACAGGCCAAAGATCTACTGGGTAGCTACAACCAAAAAAGATCTGAACTGCTGGTCAACCTTAGCAATAAAAGTCTCAAAACTCTAACCGGGTTTCTCTCGGGACATTGCAGACTGAATAAGCACCTACATAATCTGGGGTTGGAAGAAGGTAACACTTGCAGATTCTGTGAAGACGGTGAAGAAACACCTCACCATCTTCTACTGAACTGCGATGCCGTAAGCCGCTCAAGAATGAAGAACTTGGGAAGTCCCCTTATACAGCTGGAAGACATTCCAGCCCTGGAACCGCTAGACATCCTAAAATTCCTAAAGGACCTAGGACTAGAGGGGCTGCTTTAAGCAGGAAACCCGAACTTAGCAGCAGAAGGTGGGGTACAATAGATCAACCTTGGTCGCAGTGCAACTGACACCTCCAACATATACATACATACATAAGTATGGGACCAGATAACGTCTCTGTTCTATTTTTGGAGAGTTGTAAGTATATTTATTTGCAAAAACTCCATTGAATATGATTAGTCATTTAATTTTATTAATACTATTAGAAAAATAAAACAAACATGCCAAAATGTGTCATTCACTGATTTGACATTTTTACCTGACATGTTCTCATTGTTTCCAGCAAAGGTAAATAAATTACAGTGAGGGAAATCGGTGAGGGAAGTCGAATAGGGAAATCGGTGAGGGAAATCGAAGAGGGAAGTGACACAGGTAAAGTGTCACTTCCAAATTTTTAAGAAGTCAGTAATGACAAGATAACATATATGATTGCAAATAAAATAGTATACAAACCTCGGAGGGAAGTTTTCATTTCTGTCTCGAGATTAATAGTCAATCTCGACGCTTCGCGTCTCGATTGACTATATAAATCTCTCGACAGTAATGAAACACTTCCCTACTCGGTATGTAATATACTATTTATCTCATGTTCTATGTTCAATTTTTGATAGGTCATTATCCTTGGGTAAATTTCCAGAATTTTGGAAAGTAACTTACAATACAACTTTATGTAAGAATGGGGCAAGATCTGGCATAAAACTATAGACCTATTTCTAAATTCTCTTCAGTTTCAGAGATTTTCGAATTGATTGTAAATGGAAAATTAACTCATTTGAATGGAATGATCATGGAAAGTCAACATGGTCTTACAAAAAATAGATCTACGGTTTCCAATTTACTAGTTTATGAGGAGTTTTTGGTTGAGTCTTTAGAATCATTTCAGCAGGTTGATGCAGTTTATACCGATTTTAGAAAGGCATTTGATACTGTCATTCTAGTAACTTAATCAATAAGCTTAGAGCTGCGGGTATTTTTGGGAGCATGTTGAACTGGGTAGAGGATTATCTTTGTAATAGACATCAGATTGATTACGTTTATTTCATGCGTTGTATCCGGATATTAAGTGGATTAAGGATTATTAATCCATATTCGTTTATTTCACGAGTATTAAATGGATTAAGATTCGTGCTAATCCTTTCTGAAGCCTTGTCAAAAGCGCAAGCCCAAATTGCTTTGTGTCTAACTTCATTAAAGATAATCAGCCGATACACTTTTTATTAGGTTTAGGTCCTTTTTTCTTGAAGTTAGCAACACACTTCTTAAATCCGGGATTTGGAGTGTTTATTTCACATTTGAGATAATCTATTTTAAGTCCAATCCTACAAATTTGGAGGATCGGATTAAGTATCCGATCCGGATAATCTGTCTAATCCTGGGTGTTTATTAATCCAATCAACTTAGTATCCGGATAGAACGTGTGAAATAAACGTAGTTTGTTAAACTGAAAAATGTTTGCTCCAAGGAAATTTTAGTTACATCTGGTGTTCCACAGGGAAGCCATTTGTCTCCATTATTATTCAATATCTTTATTAATGATATACGAGAATATATTAAATACTCCGGTCTCTTTCTTACGCGGATGACTTGAAATTTTTCAAAAATATTTCATCGGTAAATTGGCAAAAGATTCCAAAAGATATAGATGGCTTGGAATTGTGGTGTCAAATAAATGGCATGCAACTTAACATTACCAAATACTTGTATTTTGAATACAGAGCTAACTCTGTCTCTGTGCCATTGGAAAAAGTAAATACTATAAAGAATTTAGGGGTCATTTTTGATCAAGAACTAACATTTACCGACCACATAGATTATATAACTAACAAAGCATTGAAAACATTGGGATTTTTAAAGAGAACGCTAAGGGATTTTTCTGATTTGTTGTGTTTCAAAGCTTTATATTGTGCTTACATTCGATCTACGCTAGAATATGCATTCCAAGTTTGGTCACCTTGCTACAATATTCACATTAATCGGTTAGCGAGAGTACAACAAATTTTTGAGGTTGTGCCTCAGATATGCCTCCATAGTTTTGACTTGTTCAAGATTGTACACCATAGAACCAACTATGGCAGATCATCTTTTGTAAATAGATCGGGTGAATTGTGTAATGTTTATTGTTCAAATGTTGATATTTTTAATTCTAGTCTACCTCAACTAAAAACTGCAATAAAAAATAGACTGTTCTACTGGGATGCCCTAAGTTATTTATTATTATTAAACATATTATTATAATTTGCGTAATTCGTGAAAATGCCCATTCATAAAGAAAGGGGTCAATTGGACATGTATTCAAAAACTTAAAACTCTTCACAAATTCTTAACTTTTGTAACAATATCTACTTATAAGCAGTTAAAGACTCTTACCGGGTCATAGCTTTTCTAGCTTGCTTCTTTTCGACATATTCGACGGCTTGTGCTTTCACTGCATTAGCATGCTGAAACAAAAACAAAAAATATTAATAATATAAAATAATAAATATACCTAAGTATTTTAACAAAGTCTCGTTTGATCTCCAACAATTATTTGAATAATTCAAAATATTTATTTACATATTAATTATTATTTTTGGTCTAAAGTATATACATATACTTATTAATTCAAAATTTATTTAAATGAGTTTCGCAAACACTATGCCCGAATATAGAAAAACGCAGGCGAATTAAATAAAATATCTACCATATTATACATTAATGGATATTTAAAATGTTTTAATGTTTACAACATTTGATAATTATATGATCATTAAAATAATGCATTGAGTAGATTTTTGTGTAAAACTGGGTTATAAAACGTGGGTATTTGTGGTAACCGGTGGATTCTTTCTAAATAATATAAATAAATAAAATATAGAAATCATTACCTATACCTACTATTTAAGTTCCGCTAATAATGTCAGATTGTTGAAATGCTTATTAGGAAATTAGAAATATGTATTATTTAGCATAATGAATTATAATTAAGTTTATTCATATATGTGCCATTATTAAATTTTACTAAAAACTACAAGCTCACTAATACCTAAAAGGTACAAAACCAAAACAAATTCCAGTTTATTCCTCATTATCCCAAAAGTTCCTTTGTATGTAAGACCTAATTAATAATTAATTTGTTTTTATCAAATCCCGATCTGGAGTCTATCATACAAAAAACGGTCGTTCCAAAAATGGTACAAAGAAGTTGCACGAGTTGCATACTAAATGCTGACGTATATAAATTACGTTAATGATACATTTATGAATGCTGATTATGCTCCTAAACGTAAGTACAGGAATCGGTTTATTCGAGTTTTTTGTTTGCAATAAATTTGCCTTTTCTGGGTGGCGATTGTCGTCAATAATAATAATTATAAATATTCCACTTCTGGGATTGCATCACTTAATTGGGTGTTTATTTAATGTCTTTTGCTTTAATTATGTGTTGCAAAATATTTTATCATAATATATCGTCATTTTATATATAAAATGATCTGCACGAGTTTCTGCTGAACCAATGGCATTCGGGACTATTTTTAATGTATCAGTGGTAACCGATATTTTTAGTGTCAGTTTTATTAAAATATTTCAGGTTGTAGGAGCTTTAGAATGAAAAAATATTAGAAATATTCTCAAGTTGGCGCAAATTTAATTAACGATTTATCACTTAGTAGGTATGTAAGATATTCAACAAAGAAGAATATTGAGAAAGATAATGAAATATGTTTCTTGCTTATTAATTGTGTTAAGACACAGAGCTGGGCAAAATACTTTCAAAAAGTATTGAAAAGAAATAAATACTAAATACAAAAAGTATTTAAATACTTATTTGAGTATTTAAATACTTTTTAAGTATTTAAGTACTTTAAAAAGTATTTAAATACTTTAAAAAGTATTTGAATACTTTAAAAGGTATTTAAATACTTTTATTAGGCAAATACCTTATTCAAAAACTTCAAATAGTACATTTCGTCACTAGTGCGAATAGACGGGCAGACGGCCTTTTTCAAACGAGGGCAATGATTTTGGAACAAGTCGTAGCTCGTAGCAGAAGGAGCCATCGGCAAAGGCGAGTTTAAAAAAGAAAGGCGTCCATTCGCACGAGTGACGAACGATATTTTTCATAACGAAGTGTTGAAGGGCATAGATTCATTCCCACCATTAAACACAAGGTAATTGCCAAGGTCTAGCGAAAACAATAAATTCCTACTAATCAATCTTGTTCATTTGTATATTTTTTGCAGAAGAAAAAGTATTTAAATACTTTCGAAAGTATTTAAATAATTTTGATAGTAGTTAAATACTTGAAAGTATTTAACTACTTTTGAAAGTATTTAAAATACTTCAAAGTATTTAAATACCAAATATTTCAAAAAGTATTTGGATTCATAAATACAAATACCAGTTTTAGAAAAGTATTTAAATACTAGGTATTTAAATACTTTAAAGTATTTAAATACTAAAAAGTATTTAGAAGAAGGCAGTTCGTTGGTAATGGGAATTCCATGCGACAATGTTTAAAAATGTCTTAAATAATCAGGGTTTCTATATTATGATTAGCTTCTACTTCCTCATCCATACTCTTTAGGTTATTTTCCCCTAATGTTTCCCTGTTAGTACAGATTTGTATTTTTTTACTATTATTTGTAACCTAAGTTTGTATCGGTTTTTTTCCCATATATATAATTTTTCTGTTTCATAAACGTTAATTTGCTTTATTTTCTTTCTGTCGCTTTTCTCTTCCTGGTTTTTCAATACCTTCATTTACACATTTTGCATAGAAACAGAAACCTCCTCTAATATTTGATAAAAATTACCTCCTCGGTTTTCTCCAAACTTACCCCCTCAGGTTTTTTTCACAAACCTCCTTGATTAATTGATTAGGAAGGGGAGCCTTTACAGATAGCACGTGGACACGCATGTGGTCCATTGTACTATCCCCCTCTTGGTGCAGCCCTGTCTTACCTTAGGAGCTCGCAACTTGTAAGCAAGGTACAGACCCCCTCAGGTCTGGCCTGGACTATGTGTGTTTGCAAGCTCCAGGTGCGACCGATGGATCTTCTGCAGGGCCAAAGGTCAGTAATGGCCCTCTGGACGACCCTGCTGACGTGATCTTTCCAGGTCAGCCTGGAGTTCATGATGACCCCTAGATGTTTGACCGTACTGAATGGAGCAAGTTTGGATCCAAAGACCGTGAGCCCTTACAAGTCAACTTTTATTCGCTTTGTTAATGTTGTTGTGTTGTATTACCAGATTTAACCAAAGTCCGTGATTGTTACACCATCTTTCTCCCATGTTAAGAGCTGTTTGCATGATCCCTTTAATGGTGCTGGGTGACCTACCACCCCCCACGATGAAAAAAACGTCCGCGTAGCCTTGAGTGTACGTACCTTCCTCGTTCAGATTGCGGAGCAGTCCATCCAGCACTAGGCACCACATCAGAGGCGATAGTAAACCCTCTTCCCGCACCCGCACTTTCAATCGAGCTTGTAATGATTCTTCCTTGCAGCATGACATAGATCCATTTGACAATGGTGTTCTCTTGTATGCCAGAGCTTTCTGCAGCATTTTTTATAAAATCGAAGGAGATGTCCAAAAATACACTGGGTCGGTTTCTCAACAATTGCGAGTCACCTCCAGATTGGCTTTAACTCCAGGGTAAACGTGTCCCGTTGCAATGTTTACCCTGGAGCTCTGCTTAATCCGAGGGTGACTTGCTATTGAGAAACCGGCCCTTTGTGAGATATCCGTCGCTCCAGCCTTGCCACAAGGCCGTAGAGAGCCGTCTCATTTGACATGGCAGTCCTATAGGCGTGTTGATTAGGGTGCATGAGCATTTACTGTATTCCTTTTATACATCGAGTTACACAGAACGCGAGGCAGGCTCTGAAGAGGCGTATTAGGTGCAGATACAGTAGCTTCAGCCCCTTGTACTAAAAGAGCTTCAGAATTAGGGCTTTAATAAGCTAAAATTCAGTACAGATTATTCAGATTATTCTGACAATAACTGACATGACATACAGCATAACAGGTAAATAAATAGGAAACACAGTAAATAAGGTAATGAGATATACAACATTCTTCCTCGCTCAGTTCTCAGTTTCTGACATAATCTTGAAGATATGAAGGTGGCCTATGATTTCTGTTCACCAGAACACGATCGGATTCATCAGTTCACTGTAGTAAAAGCCGGAGGATTTTCATTGTGAGATTGTTCAGAATTTTGGGGAAGGGAACGATTAGAATCATTTATAGGGAACGAAGATGATAAACGTTCTGTACTGACTGATGTAAGGTTCATGTTTAGGAATAGTTAACTCATTAAAATCTTTATGGCATTTTGATCTTGTTCTGGTAGTGTCACATCATTTTGATCTTGATCTGTCAGAGCTGACAATGTCACATCTCTCATTGGTGCTAAATGACAAGTTGACATAGTGATATCACTTCCATTTGGTAGGCGTACATGAGCATAATCTGAATTTGCTTCCAGAAGATCAACTTCTACTAGTGGATCATATTTGCTATGTCTAACATGTTTCTTAAGAAAAACTGGTCCTGGGGTGCTCAATCATGTAGGCATTGAGGTTCCATTAGTCGATCTTCTAGGATGGTTGAACATGCGTTCCTGAGGTGTAGATCTAGTTGCAGTACACAAAAAAAAATCTTATTGAATGTAGAAAATCTAATAATACAGCTTGCCATTGTTTTACGTCGATGTTTCTAGATTTAATCTCAATAGGCCAGTGCATATGTTGATGTGTCACAATGGAGAAAAACTTTGGGATCTATATAATATTTAGGGGACTACTAGCTTTCATAAACCTAGCAATCCCTTAGTTTTTTTTGATTTTCTCAAAAACTAGAGGAGCACCTAATTTTTAATTAGAGTCCCTAATTAGCACCTAAAAAGCACCTAATTATTATATAGATCCCAAAGTTTTTTTGCCATTCTGACACACCAACATGTAAACGTAAAGCCGGCAGTCCCCTAATAATTAAAAAAAAAACTGTAACTCAGTTAATAATTAATCAATTCTATTTTTTCTTGGACTATTTAGGAGCACCTAAAAAGCACCTAATTCTGATACAGAGAAGAAATTTGAAAAAAATATTTTTTACTATAGGGGACTGCTAGCTTTTATAAACCTAGCAGTCCCTTAGTTTTTTTTTTGATTTTCTCAAAAACTAAAGGAACACCTAATTTTTAATTAGAGGCCCTAATTAGCACCTAAAAAGCACCTAATTATTATATAGTTCCCGAAGTTTTTTTCCACCTTGGGACTGCTAGGTTTATAGATCTTCTTCAGAGCGATGCTGAACACAACTGTCACTCACCGTGCGCCTTATGAATGAATCTCTTATGTAGTAATTTTTATTCTGTTGAGTAGTGCCTGCTTTAAAATTACAGTCTTTACTTAATTGTATCAAAATTTGTAAGAACTGGTCTTTAGATTCACTT